CGGTATTATTCAGTAATTGTCTTCATGGAGCGGTATTTCTTGTTATTGTCAAGCAATACCTAGCAATACCGAGTAATACCTCGCAATACGCGAACATAGCATTCCCGGGTTCCAGTCCGGGCCAAGTCGTCGAGCCGCACGATAAAGAGTAAGAGCACGTGGGCGACATAGTCAGAGGTCCTTATCCACAGCCTCTGCGGATCTCCGGGAAACACAGCATCCGCGTGAATGTGCAGTAGTAATATGAAAAAATGCAAATTTGTTTTACGTTTCCTATTAAAACGCAAATTTTAAGTATAATAACGCTTCTTCCTCAATTTCGATCAAATCACGTTGCTTTTACTTTAGATTAAACGGCGGCTCTTTAAAATTTCAGTTTTTTTGTTCCTTCAAGAAGAGAGAAATAGGCAAGTAGGATTTTACTCAAATCGGATCTTGTTCAAATCCGTGCATACAAAAAACCCCTAAAACACGGTAGAATTCCGGCTGTCACTCTCCATGGAGACGCTCAAATCTCTTCTTCCGGATGACCTAAAGCTGCTTATCGGCCAAAGCACTTCAGAAAACCTCGACCTAACTTGTTCTTCACTTATGAAATCCTGCCAACTTCTGCCCCAGTTTCAGAGAGTGAGAGCCCTTTTCAGTGGTTCTGTGCCTATTGAAACAGTTTCCTTGCTTCAATCCCCGTTTTTTCCCCCTCTGTTTCAGGTTATTGGACAATTAACTGGTGGAGCGGCTCTTTGTCGGAAGAGTAAGGAGTCAGCTTTGGATTGGAAGAAGAAAGGAAATGAATGTTTCTCAGAGGGAGACTATGCTAAAGCTTTGACCTTTTACTCGAAGGTTGTCGCGATTCCCTACTTATGTAGTTCTATTCAAAGAAATTAGGGGTAGGATGGTTCTTTTGACCGTTTTGTGGACATTATTTATTAAGATTGAAAGGAAACAAAAGTGATGTTCGATTTCAATCGAACTGGACCTAACTTTCTTAGAGGGCAAATTTAGGATCAATGCGTATGAGCTGCAGCGATTAGGTTACACTGTTTAAAATAAACATACTCTCTACGATACTGTGATTCTTCGGTAGGGCTGCTTTTATCAAGCGGATTAGTACTGCACTAGGGGCGATATTTCTTTTATAATTTTAGCATGTTAAACAAGTAATCTTGATCAGCATAGTTATGCAATCATCTCATATCAGCTGTTCAGATCACTGCAGTACCAAATTTTAATTTGTTTTTACTTGTTTCTCTGCTAGTATTGCAACCTGTTTATTATTTAGTTGCTGTTGCTACTTACACATCAAGGTCTTCTTGAACAGGCATTGCGGTATGCACCAATGGACATGGATGGTATGGATGATAAGTTAGTTGGAACTCTTTATGTTAATCGTGCATCTGCACTATATGTATGTGTCTCTATCTATTTTCTTCATTGTTGTATTTGTCATGCCCCGGTATTTAAAGTGAAGAATTTTCTTTTTTAGTATATGTCCAATTCATTATATTTCTTTTATCTTTCATTTAATAATATGATTAATTTCAACATCCTGAGCTTATTAATAACATTAAAGAAGAAAGCCAATAAACAATGGAAAACATAATTCATATTTTCATGGTCCAAAATTAGATCATATCAATAGAGTCCAAAATGATATATACACTAGTCACTATGGCTACCAAAGAATACATAAACTAAAGAACTGAAATAAAACTATGCTAGCATCAGTGCATACATAACTCAAGCTGCATGCTCCTTATCTGAAATCATTTAAACCACATAATGAGTTAATAGCCCAACAAGTACTTAAAATCTTACTACTGAAATCAATGCAATATAAAAGAGAAACAATATGTTGTAAATCATGTAAATAAATATATGCATCAATATCTATGCTAGTTATCTGTACAAATTGCTCAGTTTATAACGCATCACATCGCAGACGACAATATTAATAATAGTGATCCGTATCAGTAATTGTGAACAGTCTCAACAACAATAACAATATCAGTAATCGCTAATCAATAATAGTAATCAGTATCATCAATAACAATAATGAGTAATCAATAACAGTAATCAGTATCAATGTGATGTTCAGATATTCAGAAGAGGGTATATTGCTCTCGCAGTCTCGCACTTATGACTCCTAAACAGTCGCTTGTATGATTCTCAATCAATAAACTCCTTATAACTCCCCTTGAATCACATGACAGTTGCCTCAGTTCCTTATAACTCCATCAATCTCTATCTCCTTATGACTCTCCATCATTCTCTGAAATCGTTGTATTGTTATAGTGTTATCATATTATATATCTGATATCAATCAGTGACTCATTTTTCTATCAGATTAACATCAGTATCAATATAGTATCCTTTCCTTGCTCAGTCAAATCAGTATTATATTCCAGTACCTATCAATCATTTCAGCACGTCTGACAGTCCAGTACATCTCTCCAATCACATTTTATCACTTTTCACTTCAATTTTAGTAAACATTTTTCCCACACATTTCATAAAGAAAATCCTATACACAAATTTAACTGGTGAAAATGCAAGAAAATCATATCAAATTATTCAGAATGATCAAAATTTTAATATATCCAAAGTTATGTCGTGAAAGCTTATAAAATAAGGAGATAATGTAGATTTAACAAATTTAGGAGAGATAAATCCATACAAATCAAAATCATCGAAAATAGAGATAAGAGGATTGTCACTTATTATGATCAAAATACTTTTCGTAAAAGGAACGGTAGATGAAAATGCCCCGACGGGCTTTCTCTCTCCTCTCTCTCCATTTCTCCCCCCTTCTCCTCTGATTCCTTCCCGGCCAAAGCATGTGAGTGAGAGGTGAGAGAGGTGGGGTGGATTTAAGGAAAAAATATTTTTAGTGGCCTAGCGCCACAGTGCTCAGTCCCAGCGCCCCTTGCAAAATTTAGGTTTACTGTAGAACAAAGACACCAGTGTTGTGGCGGCGATTTTTGGCGCCGCAATGCTCACATGTACAACGCCGAAGCGCTGTGATTCAATTAGAAATTTAGAACTTCATAATTTTCATTTAAAATGCTTTTCATATCTTTGGGTTATTACAATATTGGTGTCTTCAATTTCTTGTTTTTGTAGCTATATTATTTCTCAAGAATTTATTAAGTGGTGACATGTGAATAGCATGGAATTTCGATTTGCATGATCCGTATAGCATTTTTTTGTTCTGTGGGTTTTTTATTTTACATACTTTTTTGGCCTATGTAAATTCGGATGTTTAGCCTTTGAATATTTGAATGCAATTATTACTGGATTTATTAGCTTGTCTGTTATTTCATTCACATATATGATATATCTATACAATATATCTATGCTTTTAGGGTATTGATATTTTAATATAAACATGGACACTAATCACAGCACTTAAGAAGTTGTTTTTTTTATTGTACGAGGTTTCAAAATGATTGTTTAAGTAGGCTCCTTTGGTATGGCTTAATTTTATTTTTTTTCTAGATATCTAGTTTAGTGGATTTCATAGTGATATTTTACTCCATCACAACACCCATTTTTTATTTTTATGACATATTTACTGAGAATGATATATCAAATCTACATTTCCAATCCATGAAATGATATACCTTATCCATAATAAAAATAAGTTGAGTTCCAGTCAGGGATATTGTTGATTTCAGTACTTTTTGTAAATTTCTTTTTTTTCAGTGCATTGTTCTGATAATTTTTTTTCAAATATGGACAAAAGTTTACAATTTATGTCATTGATGATTTCATCTTTTTATTGCTGATTTTCCAGAAAATTGGACTTTTTGAAGAATGCATACGAGATTGTGCTCGAGCAATTACAATTTATCCTGTTTATTCAAAGGTAAGAAAATGAGAAGTGGGGATCTGCTATGCTAAAAACTATTGTTGAACTTATAATTGATCCATGTTTTCTGAATATAAGCATTCATAATATTAATGTTTATTCTTGTTCATCTAGAAATGGGAACTGGGCTGGCACTAGAAGGAAAAAAGCTGTCTAAAGTTTATACACTTGCAGGTTGCAAGTTTTAGAATACTGATATGATTTAACTTAATGGATAATAGATGATGCAACATGAAATTTAAATTAGGAAAGTTTCAAAAAATAAAGGAC